AATTTTCTGTGTGTCTCACTATAGTGATACACGAAAGGCCTTTTGCCCTGAAGCTAAAATCAGTGATGGGCATAAACATCTTCTGAAGAAATTAAACCCCCTCTGCTTTAGGGGGTTCACTTATAATTCTGCTATCATGAGTTTGAGATTTCCCATCTCCCCTGTCCTGAATAATGTTCCTATCATTGATATCTAAAAGCATGCATTGAGATGGTAATTTATACGAGAGGATGCATTTGATGGTTTATAGTACCTGCACCCTTTGCAGTCACAAAGCAGTGCTAAAACCAGGCACATTATGATGGCTTTGCTCTCCCCAAAGCATGGTACAAATTCTGTATGGAGGGTCTTCTTTTGTCCAGTTCTCATCACTGAACTGCTGTTTGATAAGGCTGTGATCTTATGTTTCTACTGTTTTCCTTCGTAACTGTTAACACTGAAAGCTAAGGCAGAGATCAGAAAGTTTGGGAGAACAGCAACATAGGAGAAAATGTTTCTTTTAAAGGACATTACTGTGTCAGCAGGTATTCTATAATGTTACTGTAATGTGATCAGTTGCACCACACTCCTTTATACTAAGGTTCTTGGGTTTTCCTCAGCAATTTACTATGGAGAAAGGCTCTGGCTTCAAGCCAAGGAAACCTCATATACAAAAATTGTACTTACAACTACACCTGCAGCATCTCTCAAAATTATTCAGAAAAAAAAAAAAAAGAGTAACTGATAGTTAACAAACCAAATTAAGGTGCATGGCTCTTTCCAGTCAGAAATATTCTATGCACTGCCCATGACATACAATTGTTGAGTCCTCTGATACTCATATCAAGATCCACAGGGCTTGATTCGTAAGTGCATTTAATGTCTTGATTCCAGTGATTTCAATCACAGCTGAGTGCCACCGTATATTCCCGGATCTGGGCTACATACAGTTGTTGCATTACTATTTCCTAAGTAAGGAGTTACTAAAGACATTATTGCATTATCACCACAAAACAATGACATGGGGTGACATTCAGTGCCTGCTATAAGGTCTGATCTTTTAATGTTATGGGATTACCCTTTCACTTTTTAAGAGTTAAGCGGCAATTCTATTCCACAGGTTTCAGTATCTTCATCATTCTTACTGGCCCTAGCGCAGTACAGGTCTTTAATACCATCTACTATCTAACAGTGCACTCCTTTAAATCATTTGAGAGACAAGAATGCAACGAATCTCTTGGTACACAACACAGATCTGTAGTCAGGATGTTTTTTCCCTAATCTCACTGATCACACATACGGACCAACACAGCCCAAATCTGAAAACTTTGACACACTGAGATGTTAAAGCCATGGCTTTGGAACAGGTAGAGCCTGAGTGAAAAGGGCCTATAGATAGTTTAATGATGTGACCATATTTTGCACTGTCATTTTACTGACTGGCAATTCATGGGCAAGAATTTCCGAGTTTTGGTTTACACGCCATCAATGCTACTTTCAGCTGCTGTGAATCACCAAAGAAGGTGCATATGATTTCTGTGTCCTTCCTACCTGGAGTGTGCATTTTCTTCTGCAATTATAATAAGCTGAAGAAAGCAGAATTTTCACTGAAAAGTGCAACATGTACATTTTTATTCAACACACTATCTTCTGAGAACCTTCAGTTTTCATCCTGCTTAATAATCTAGAATTGTCTACTATGTAAAGCCAAAGTTTCACAGACCCTCAGGAGAATGCTAATGCATAAATGCACACTGCAAATTAATCAGAATGAAGAAGAGTAACTGCAAATTAAGGATTAAACAAGTAGTAACAAAGAAACAACCAGAAAGCTCAACAAATATTCACTGAATAATAATTCTCTATCATTTGTAATGAAATGCCATCTTACCAATCAGCTTTTTACTACAGAAGATTTTTAAGCATGCACCACCTACAAATTATCTCGTCTTCTAAACACTTGAATGCATAAATAAATAGCTGCAAAAGAGTGAGACATCTCAACAGCAGCTAATTTATTGTATGAATTCACTCATCTCATGATGAGTAATTCCTCAGTTAGAGTTCCATTTTAAAGGATCTATGGATTTTGTTAGTCTCAGTTAATCTTTCTTACATTAATATCATAAAATGGCTCTAATGGCCTACTTGAGAACAGTTTTGACTTTACTAGGATTTATGGAGGTAAATTTGAGATAAAAATTACCCTTTCCAAGCCAACACCAACAGATAAGCAAGCAGTTGTGGTCCATAACAGTAATCAATACTCTAGATCCTGATCTCCCTTATGTCAGCAATAATCCAATGCACTGAAGTAACTTCTAAGTTTCCATCCAGATAATACACTCAGGCATTTAACACTGAACATCTGTCCCACGGTTAAGGCTCCTCCAATATTTTTCCTTATATTATTTTCATCTTGAATGTAACTTACTAAAGTCATGCTCAACTGTATAGCAGAATAACTAGTCAGAGGACAGATTCTCCCACGAGCCTCTGGAGAGGGTGATATTCTTCCATAGAAACCTATTCAATCATCCATTTTCAAATGCTATGCACAGAGTCAACCTTTCTGACACCATCTAGTTATAACATTCACAGTTAAAACACGCTGTTATGGGTCAGAAAATATCCTCCTCAAGAAACATATGGGGTATAAACTGGTCATAATTGGTCTATTCTTTCATGAAGACTACTGAGAATGGTGAAATGAAAATGGACCTTGGCAGAAAAATCAAGCTTAAAAGGAAGTGAAAAGAAATAAAAAGTCATACTCTGAAGGGGGAAGACGTTAGAGCTATGGAGTTAAAAAAAGAAACCTCCCAAAACAGAACAAAACCACATAGCAACCTTTCTTCAGTATGGTTCCATTTAGTCCTCAGCTGTGACACATTTTTCTGTGTATCATATTAACTTGAGAGTCAGCCATAAGTTATTTTTATATGCACAAAAATATGTCTCAAAAATGATATGAATAATATTTCAGTAATACTTTGCAATCAACTAAGGACACCTCTAGCACTATAACATCCCTGAAAATACTAGCCAGACATTTCCTTTGTAAATTACCAGATCGCTGGTGGAAAGTGAGCAGGCGTGATAAATGAGCTGTAGTTTTCTAGATCGTGCTTTGTAACAGATGTATTTACACATTTCACAATCTACCGGTAGGGATGGTGTGTGTGACTGCCAAATGTTAGATGAAATGTTATCAAACAGAAGTCTTCCAACAAATTCCCATCATGTTGACTATTACAATCCTGCCACGTGTAATTTTTCATGTTCTCGATGAAGATTTTTTAAGCTATCGTTACTATTTTAATCCCTCTCTTACTCACCGATATATGAGAAGTACATGAACACAGAAATTACAGAATGCATAAACACTTGTGCCACTTACATTTTTTAAATACTTTATAGGCTTATTTAGTAATTAAACTAAAAACCTACATCAAAGACCAGAATCTCATCCCACTTCTATTTTACACTTCTCTTCAAAGGGCTCTCTTTCCCTTTCAGACAATAGCAGAGGATTTTGTCTTGCCTGAGCCAGCAGCTCTTTATCACAACATCTGATTTTCCTTAATCAGTTCCATGGTGAGAATCAGCCACTCCCATGCTGCTAACCCCCACTGCTACTGAGGGTCAGTGTGGCACAAGGCAGACATTTGAGAGAAACAGGAAAACATTCCTGGGGAAGCTGCCATTCCTCTCTGTTTTGCTGGAGAGGACCAGAGCCCATATCCTGCTTTGCATCTCCTGTACCACAAAAGTGGCATATTGGTGTACATGGGGGCAGATGTAGTGATGGCATGAAGAGACATACAGTTCCCACATTAGCACAACCTGAAGGCAGTACATACCTTGCCATATAACCTGGCTCCAGCACATACCAGCCGCAGCAAGCATTCAGTGCACCCTGCTCGAAGAACTGAAATAGGCAGGACACAACTCAAGGTATCTTACCTGTGTCCATGACAATGGTGGTGCTGTAATGCCACTGGAATAATGAACAACACGCTGGAACGAAACCCTGCCCATAGGGCACTCAAAATCTTAGTAAGATACAACAGTATTTATTTATTAAGTCTCATGGTTACTATTCTCTCATGGACGCATGGTAATATCAGCTGATAGGTCCAGACACAGAGTTTTGTCGTAGCACCTTCCGAACGGCAACCACGCAGACACAACCACAACCAACATTCAGCAGAACTCTTACAGATCATGCATCTTAAGTGATATGCCAGGCTCAGTGGCTTCACAAACATATAAACCACAAATACTAATGTGGCAGTACTACTATAATCATGCTCTTTCTTTATATGTTAATGTGTGTGCACACCTCCAAAAATACTTATGCTCATTTATCAGCATCTTAAGTATACAGGTCTCAGAAACAGTGTTTATAGTCAAGCAGATTATAATTGAGCAGGCTATGATCAGATTGGTTTCCTTACGTGTCTTTAAGGGGAGCTGAGCAGTTAGAAGGAAAAAAAGAACCAAAACCCTCACACCCCACAGATGAGTCTTACATTAAAAATGATTTCTCATTTGACTGCTTGTGATACATTTTCAGTATTTTTCTGAAAACTTCCAAGCTTCCATTTGCTAGCAAACATGTAACACTGAAACCAAAGCTTATATGTTAGATCTTTTCCTCAGAATAGATTTAGGAGATTTAAGTTGGTTTTAATTATGTTTGCATTTGACATCAGACTTGTTAGCTTCATGCTTCATGCACTTAGAAGACAATTTTCTGAGAGTGTAAAACCACATTTCTTCATAGTCTCTTCAACTTTCCCCAGAGAATTTGAAACTGAAGAAACATTTATTATAGAAATGCGTGGACAACTCTGGATCATGAAGTTCTGAATAATGGGGGCTTTGGAGACAACTTGCACACAAACTAAAAAAGCAGAATACATTTATAACTAGAAAACACATTTAAAATTCATTTTACATCTAAAAATGCATATATTTCAAAAATACCAAAATGAGGAAATAAATTTTGCTCCTACCTCTTCCAAAGCCCATAATGAATCAACCACAGGCTTGATCTTCTTCCTGTTATACAGATCTAGGAGTTTGTCCATCACACCCTTGATGAGACCACTTCGATTCTGTTTGAAAAGCAGATTCAACAGGGAAAATCCAGCAATGACTTTGTTCTCCTCATACAGCTTGATAGGATTTACTTTCTCAACCTGCCACCACTGGAAAGCAATAAACAACAGCAGGGTTAGAAAAACAGTTTCCAAGAAATGCACAGGGAAGTTCACAAGAAATCTGTCTGGGCAGATGTGATACGCGACTCATCCCTCAGATCTGAAGTAGCAGCCAAGAGAAGCCAGAAGGATTTTATTTAAGGAAAAGGCACAAAAGCTGACTGACAAGGAGGGAATAAAACAGACTTGTGTGGCACGAGATTAGGGTGCTTGAACAGTGAACAGATCTGGCTTTAGGAAGTGGATCTAAAAGTAAGGAATCTGGACCTCCCTTACTACTTCTGCTATCCTCCTGTTATCTCAAGAGAGCCATGCCAGCTTCCTAAATGTTTGCAAGCATCTCTTGACTACTACTCTTCTCTCAAATAGAGGAAACTATGCGCTGCTTATCAGCCTTCATTTACTTGTCACCCATTATTATGTTCGTGATATTTGAGCAAGCATAACAACTCACGTCATTTAGCACAAGAGCATCCTTGAGACTGAGATCCCACTTCTTAGCAAGTTTTATCTGAATGAGTCAATATCTGATTAAAATTTTCAGATCACTTTGGTGAGTTAATTTTGCAGTATAATTACAAGAAACTAGTTACACTTTCATATAGAATTTGATATGGTTTTTATTAACGTATTTTATTCATATTTATCCAGTCAATAAACCAATATTATCTGGAAAACATTTCAGTTGAAATTGATTTCATTGGGCCAACCTACCCTACAAATTCTATGCAACTGCAGATGTTTTATTAACAGTAAAAAAGGCTGCATAGTAAGGATTATCTTGTTTAGTTTATAATTGTATGACAGAAATAAAGATCATGCCACTGCATCCATTTAAAAAACGCAGGAGGCAAGGAAAAGCTATGGTCTTTGAGTTATCTTGTTTTTAACTACATTAAGACTTTTGAAGCCAGTTTCTCCTGGCAAGGGGTTGTTACTGGAAGCTGTAAATCAGCCCTTGGCAGAAATAACATACAACAGATCTTCAGTCAAGATTTCTCCTTCTGTTTTTCTTGTCTCAAGAAATCACTCTCAGTCCAGGTTAACTCATTTCTCACTAGCAGTTTATTTGATACATTTGTCCCTTCTCCAATCTCAGCGATTCCTGAGCAGATTTTTGTTGTTGTAGTAAGATGAAGAAAAACATTTAACATCTGAATTTTGGATTTGTTGGCATCATTAATAAGGAAACAAATGCAACATCTCTCTGATGTCACTTGACACTAACATGGAGAACTGCATTTCTGTATGGAAACTTGTGAAAAGCTGGAAATGACTGGACACTTAAGTCCCATCTTAAAAGATACATCTCCTTCGGCACCTCCTTTAATTCACTGCACTGTCCTGACAGTGTTTTCAAGTATGAGGAACCTATAGGGTACACTTATCCATAACCATGGATATGATATTTTGCCTGAACCGAATAAATAATGAAGTGGAACTTCTTCATCACATAAGAGATATATATCTGATAGTTAACAATTTAAATATGCATTGTACACAGATCCAGTTCCTGTCCAGGTGTCTCATCAGAAGAAAACATGTCAGATCACACCACAGACAGCAGTCTTTTTAGCAACATCAGATGTAGTAACTTAGTAGAGGTTAATGAGAATTATAAAGATGAAAATGCTACAGAAAACACTAAAGTTAGAGTAAAAAGAATCGCAGCACTGGCGCACTTACTGATTTTGCAAAACTGAAGAAGCTTTTGGTCTCCCCAGTAACCATGTTAGATGAACCTGTAAAAGATAAGTACATTCATACACAACTTACTACATGCTGACAAGAAGACCATTTATGTAAAATCATTTCCATGGTTCATATACAAGTAAAAAAAACCCAAACATTTTCCCAGGCTTAAAAGGGATTAGTAGACATCATTATACTTTGGAATAAATAACAAAGAGGCCAAGGTGACTGAACCCTACAAGTTTGTAGGTATTCTGAGATGACAAAAATAATCTATCATCCAAAACCAGGAACAAGTTAAATGTGACTAAGTCTCTTGACACCAAAGCTCTTCTATGTCTACTTCTCTGCAGCTAAATGCCATTTGTCTCTGGCAGACTATTATTTAGCAGCAATCATCAGGCACTTGTCCTTTCTCTGTATCTACAGATACATTTATCTGACCACTACATGTGTGAACATACACATGTTGTACACTACAACATGTTTGCAAATGTAATGACAATTCACTGACAGGGACTTCATTACGAAAACACTAATGGGTTGGCTTGTACAGCCCAAGCAGATACCCAAGTGGCAATGGGTTTGTTATTGCCACCCTGCCAGCTAGATGAAAGCCCAAGGAAGTAGTCATGCTCATTCATAATGCCACTGCACCTTCCACTTCCATACAGATATATTTTTCATTTCAAAAGCTTAGCAATCCCTTCAGCTGTCCTCCTACAAAAGCTTGGCCTGTTTTATCAACACATAACATGGCAACCTGGCAGAACTGCAGGGAAGACACATTTGCTCGGTATGTAGAGCAGTCCATGGACATAGATGGATATTTGTGAACAGAAGCCTAAGCTTCAATTGCTCAGTGATGTCAAGTAAATCTGACAGCATTCCTCCTGAAATCTTCCTCCAGTCATCCCTCCCACAAGAACAATATTACAGTTTCCTTGGCCACACTATGACTCCTATGGTGTGTAGAATGAGAGATCCAAGCTTTCTCCTACACTTCTCCTGTATTACCCAATGGTGTTTAACGATCTGAAACACATATTCAGTTTTATTTTGGATTTTTTATTAATTTAAAAGTTTCTCTGTATTACCTATTTTTTCTGAATAATTTAGTCCACACTCAACTTCACCAAGTTCCTTGATCGGAAATGGTCAAATTGAGAAAGCATAACATGGTGGCCTCAGTTCTGGAAGGAGTGGCATGGATGATTTTAAGGGATTTTAAGCTTTGCAAAGCTTTAGGTTTGAAATACATACTTGGCTTTTTCCACTCACCATATAAAATGTAAGTCCCAAGCGGTTTGAGAAGACTGAGGCCTTTCCCAGTGTTTTCTCCACAAAGACAGTCCAAAACAATATCTACTCCATCAGCCGAGATTCTAGAAAGCATGGAAGAAATCTCAGTTGGCAATTAGATCCACAGGACTGGTCAGCCAGGATGACACAGGCTGATTGTTAAGATAATACTAACATTTTCAAGGTACTTTAGAAAGAACTCTATGGCTGAGGCTTTGACTACATGAAAACTGTCTTGTCGTCAAAAGATAAATTAATTCAGTGCCGGAATGAAGTGAGTTTGTTGGACTAGCCAACCCACACCTTTCAGGCTTCGAAAAGTGGAAAACCATCTTATTTCCCCTTTTTGAGGGCTTTCAGTAAAATTATGTATCAAAACATAGGTGATAGATGTAAAGTTCTCAAGTGAATGTAAATGTCAGAAAATGTCTCTTTTTTTTTTAGTCAATGAATATCATAAAGAAAAAAGACATTTCTTTTATTCACATCTTATACTCCTTTTCTGAATTCATAACGAAACAGATCTTCTTATCTTAGTTCTTCTCTGATAAAATGAGGTCCTTGTATAATTATTTAAAAAGCCTTCTGCTTCCAACTTTGTATCAACTAGACATCAGAAAAGAGTTAAATCAAGCATAAAGAGAAGTCATCAAGAACCAGAAGCCCAGCCCTAAGGATGCAATCACGTCATATTAGAGAAAGAAGAAAGTATTTACACTATTTCAGTAGCTTGCACATTTAAAATTTTCCAGTAAATAGCTTTGTGAATGCTTTCTGCTGCAGTATAACTGAATTAGAAGTCACAAAGAGAGAAAGCTTTATGGCTTGTAATCTTTCCATTTCCTCACAAAACAAAGGTGATGCTCAGGCATCCACTGGTTACAAACATGAGCAAAATCAGACAACTTCACTTTTTGGTACTGCTGCCACATATGGGGTTATAAATTGCTTATATTTAGGCCACTGGATGAGCTTTCACTGTAAATAAATAATGACTTCGCAACTAAACAGCTTTCAGTGGCTTCTATGGTTGAACTGATTCCACATTGGCTGTGAATGTGGAAATGTTCCTATCACCTCTGGGTGGTTTTTTTTTTGTTTGTTCATTTTGTTTCGAGTTTTGGGGAGGGGACTGCTCTGCTGCCTCACCAGGGGTAAGGACTAAGGTTGGTGCTGAAAGCTGATTAATTTTGTCAAGTGTTCTTTGTTGCTGAGTTAATGCTTCAAAGCAGGGGTTGCCATAATTTAGTCTTCATCTCACTACAGCAATTTTCCAGGGGCTGGAAAACACTTATTTATGTACACTTCCCCAAGAGAAAGGCTATCGAAGGGCTGAAGAAATGTGCTGCAATTGTGAGCTGTAAAGAAGCGGTAGGGGTGTCATCTGCTAGACGAGTTCTATCTTTTTTTTTGGTGAAACTTCCCATATGGAAAAAAATTTCTTTTGATATAAAACATCTTTTGTTATGGACCATTTCAAATGTTTTCATAAGCCCTTGGGAGTGGTCCAGAAACAGTTGCAAGACGTCCTTCTTCCTCCAACACCAGTCTGGATTGCCAACAGCCCAGGCAAAAGTCTGCTATGCACTGAAGGCTCTCTAAGGGCTAGTGACCCTCATGCTTCTGAGACTTCTGAGACCTGAGACTCTGCACGTCACTCTGAGGAATGTGTAAGTTTGACAGGAAGCCTGTCAACTGTACTATGTTGGCATGCCCCTTTGAGAAATTTCTTGCTTTATGCTCAGCTACATAATCTAGTATTTTGACAGATACAAGATGAAGAGAAAACATTACTCTTATCTGACAAGTAAAATAAAAAAGACATTTCTTACTAAGATTTTTTTATAAATTCTAAATTTTTGCCACCTGTATCAACATCCATATCCAAAAACAGCTAGAAAAATTGTAAAAAAAAGCATTTGAAAGCATACAAACAGAAACACGTGATGACTTCAACAGAAACACATGATGGCTTCAATAGAAACACATGATGGCTTCAAAAGGCAACAGGATGATTCTAATCTGAATGCAAACAAACAAAATCTAAGGATTTGAAGTTAAAACAGGCATCATGTGCTCTGATATCAATCCCTGGCAGAGGATAAAAGCCTGGACAGATAGAAACACACCAGAGAACTCCAAAACCTGGATAACTTACAGATCCACTGAAAATATCTTACTCTGTGCATTACAGTGGGCTACCACATACGCAGATAACTGTAAAGTACTTCCTTAAGATCTTTATTCTTTTTCACTTAATTTACTTTGCTTTCAACAGCTGTGCAAGAATGAACATGGACTAACAAAGCTTACATTGTTTATAAAGATATAGGGAGATGCTTACTTTCTTGGCCCTTAGAGTGGACAGAAGGAATATATGGAATATATTCCCAAACTCACAAATGTAATCTTTTCCCATAAGTATGACCAGCCTCGTGTCCCTCACAGTACTATACAACCCTTACTCAGGAAAAGAAGAGGTTACCTTTTTACTTCTTGAACATAATCCGCATTTCTGTCAAACAGGTGAGTTACTGAGTCTTTGATTGCTTCATGTTTGAAAGATGAAGCTGTTCCGAAAACAGTGACATTGGGAACAGTTGAACATAGCTGAGCAACAGCTTGACCCTGCAAACATATCCTTATGTTAATTCACTGACATGGAAACTGGTTGACAGACTTCGTAGCAGCAATGCACTTATGACACAGCAAAATCCAAGACATGTGCAAGGACTTCCCAAACCAATTTCTTGAAAGTGCAATGCAGTTCAGCCACAAGAAAAATACATTTTTAAACCAAAAGGTTATGTTGAAGACAAAGCAACTGCTGGGATAAAAGTAATTTAATGTATCAAAAAATGGAGTGGAGAAGAGTTCTTGATCTTTTAACAAAGGCAGTGTAATTTAAGCAAAATGGCATTAATCTACAAGGACAACCAAAAATTACTTACAGAGTGCTAGAGAAATGTTTCTCATTTGCTGTTTGTACCCTATGTGCATCTCCCCCTGAGTCCCTTAGGTAATGTCTGCTCTGGGGTAAATGAATACAGAATGCAAGCAGCAAATGAGTCAAAATGGCCTAGAGCATTTATAGGAAAATCATTTTCTTAGTGCATCCCTCCCGCATGTGGGCAGAAATCCTGTGAAGTCAATCAGATGCTATGTCGGTGTTTAGGCAGGACTTGGAGCATTAGAGAATTTGTGCCTTCAAATGTCTGTACTTCTACTTTCCGGTATCAATCCCTGGCAAAGGATAAAAGCCCAGAGAGGTTTACTTTCTGGCTTTAGGTCCCAGAAGGCTTTAACTTCTCTAAGTTTTAACCTCTAATTTCATGAGGCTGAGAGAAGAAGAGAAGCACTGCATAAATATTGAGCCACCCAGATTTCAAAAAAATCCTAACAGGTCGTCCTTTTACAACCCTGGGTTTTATTTTACTCTTAACACACTAAGAACTGGAAGACAGGCATTTGGTAGTCACATTCTGCCTCCTGTTCTAACCACATTATTCCACTGGAGCTAGCACAGTTACATGGATATGCCCAGAAGCCAGATATGGCACTATCATTCTAAAAATGCCTGACATTCAGCAGATTCTTACTTACATTTACAGCCAAAAGATTGCCATTTGTAAACTGTATGCCTGACCAGTATGATCATCCATGAATAGACACATTTCTGTTCATGTCAACCAGAAATCCTTATTATCAGCATGTAAATACCAGCAATAAGTGCTTGGGTTTTATTTACATAATAATTACATAACCCTGCATACCCTGGGGGCTCTGACATCCTCACATGTAATGCTGAATATAATTGGCAGTGACAATCCTCTGAGCTGAACATGGCAAGAGAGGACATTATTATTTATATACGGTGGCATCCAGGAGTGTCAGATTGGTTTCCTACTGGATAGTCAGCAAACAACTACACAGCAAGTATGTGATCCTTTGGACAGGTATCAACAGACGTGGAAAGGACAGCAGGAGAAGGGATGCATTCTCATTCTTACTTTACAGATGAGGAATGGACTAGTACAGCAAATTGAACAACCTGGCCAACAGCTCAGAGAAACTTATAACAGGACCCAGGTATGCAACCTGATTCATAGCATGGTAATCCAATACCAAACACAAGTGACCTTTTCTGTTTAAAATCCTCCAACATTTTCTTGCGTTGGCATCCCTAATCTCTTAGAATTCACAGGAAACTCTATTCCTGAGGGGCCTCATCTCCCAAGATGTAATGTCTTCAGTGAGCAGCAAGCATTTCACTCTTCTCACACTTCATTTCTCTGTTACTTACTGTCTCATTCTGAAGCCCAGGTTTTAGCCTCCGCAAATATTGTGACATAAAATCACAATAAAAAAAAAGTAATCTGGATTTTGTATCTCTCCTTTTCTCAGTCATTTTCACTAACAATCCTCTTTTCTCACTTACTATGTCTCCCAGAAAGCCATCACCATCACCAACAGTGATATAGGTAAGTCAGGATGTTATAATGTATGCTAGTGGAATTCTGACATTATTGATCTATTCTCTAATTAGTTTTCTGCATTTTCAATCTAACTTGGGAAGATGAGAATGGGAACACTGAATATTTAAAAGGTCAAATATTGGAGTAGAAAACACTTTGATTTTTATCCTGCAGAAGACGATTAACATTTAATAAACTGACAGTCAGGTGAATAGGAGAAATGCACAAAAACCCCAGGATGCACCTAACCTATTTTCCTCCTAACTCGAATTTGTTAGTACACCCCTTGCTCCCACCACAGAGATAAGATTATCTAAAATCCCAGATTAGAATTCTTCCCAGCTTTCTGTAGATATTTAAAGCCTAAAACTGACTCATATGACCAGTACTTTTATAATTGGATGAAAAACATCGCTGAAGTATTTCGAGGCTATTCCACAAAACATTCTTCAACAGCTTTCTGAAGATCTTAATTTGACATTGATTCGTACTTATTTTTGTGCAAAGTATTCTTAGGATTTGTATCTCAGAAATCTGGGCATAAAGGCTCATATTGGACATTTTATGCTTTCCGCATTAAAATAGGGGAACTGAACTCAACCTATGAACCCAAACATTTCACTAATTTCTGTGGAATTCGGCTAAGCTTCAAAAGAGTACTGTGGCTACACAAGTCACACTTAAATCTCTTTTCTAATCCCTCAAATCATTTAGCTATCTCTGGATTAGCAGCTACTGTTTAGAGGGCTATACATTCTAATTGCAAGTATGTGAGGCCCCAGTGTTCAGAATGGCCATAGTTCACAAATGAAGTATGCACAAAGAGGGTTGCAGCTAGAAGGAAGAATGTCCTTTTTCCAAGGGTGGTGGAGGGGCAGGCAAGGTATCCATGCCGGTTCCTGTCCCCAGCACACTCACTCATCAGCCAGCACCCTTTGGTCACAGGGGCACACAAGCCTTGTCCTGTCTTTTGGTTTCCAAAGCCCTTCCCCTCCTAAAATCTGCTTTGTGGCAGACACAGAAAAGAGGGCTTTTGCCTTCTCCCTGCCCAGAGAAAACCATATCATCAAGCTACCAGCTTTCACTGTGGAGACCACACAGATATAGAAGCAAGCACCATGTTATCAGAAATAGCACCTGAACTCTGAAATCAGAAAGTGTAGGAACTCTGAAAGCATTCTTCATGCTTTGAAAAATGAATACTCTTCTCCCATCCAATTTTCATGTAGGATGCAAATTTCTACATGTACATACTGACTGGATTCTTGCTTTGTGAACCTTAGAAAATAAGTAAGTAGCAAAAAATAATTCTCACTTGGACAATTAATTTTACGTTTAGAAGCATTTAGCAGTCTTGAAAAAAATTATTAATTGCTTCACTGAAGGAACAGATATGGTTACAAAATATTCCCTTAAAATTGAATTAATTTCTTTTAAAATATGCATAATTTATATACTACTTATAATGCAGAACTCTACATGGTGAGACTTCAAAGAAATGAACGACTTGGATTTAAGTGTTCTGCGGAAACGAAGCACATCTCCTAATACTGGATTTGGCATAGAAGTCTTGTGTCTCTTCAGCTTCAAAGTCTGTTTGATGGATTCCTTTTCAAGGTGTCCTGGCAATTTATAAAACCAGTGTGACGAACCTAATCTACACATATTATTATTACAGAATTTATTATAAATGGATATCCTTACGTTAGTTTTAGATCCAGTAAAAAGATTGAGATTCCTTTACAGTCCTTTGCTTTAAAACCAAACTTTAAACCTGCAGGACTGGAAACTTCTCCTACTGAGATAATCACATAAAAGAACAAAAAGGTAGATTCTTAAGAAGTAAAACTGTAATAGCTGTTCTGTCCATTTAAATAATTTCAAAATATTAAAAGAATGTCATTGACATTTAAAAGTCAACGTAGAAAGCATGAAAATAAGAAAACTTCCTAATCTAATTATCTTAATAATACTGAATTAATGCTGGATGAAATAGAAATAAAGGAGTGGACCTCTGAAAGGTACCTGACCTAATGGCACCAGCCAGACCTCAGCCTGATGTGCAAACTGTGCACTGAATTACAGTAGTTAAACATCCGTATACTTTCAGTAAAGTATCTTTTGTGCTGTTATATAAACTGAGGCCAGCTTTATAGCAAGAGAGAACAAACCATCTAAAAGACACCACCCTGCAGAAATACATCTATTAGAACCAGCCAGAAATTATCACTTCTATGATATATTTTGCAGCCCAAAAAATGTTACAGCATTTAAAAAAAAAATTATTCAGACTTAATCTTGTGCAAGAAACTGGTCTGGAACTGAGCATGAGGAGAATTTACATTTCCAGAATGCTTGGATGCAACATAACCATATCTGAGGGTGGTACAAAATACACAAGTATAGTAAGAAAATCGCAAGAGAAGACATCTACTGATCTCCTGGCATCAAGGAAAACTTTAATCTGGTGTCAGAAGTCAGATTTACAACATTCCATCTCCTGAAGGTGTCGTTTTTCCAATTACAGCCAAGGAAATTGGAAACCAAACGCTAAGGCGAACACTGCAGAGTGAATAAACTGAAACGTGACTCTTGAACAAGCCTAAGGCAGCACTTGCTACACTCAGTGCACCACAAGTAAGTTTTGGAGTAGAAGGAGGGGAAAGAGAGTCACCATCAGATAATGACCCCTTTTACCCTCAGAATCTCTTATGTTCTACAACAATTAGCAGGGTCTGGGTTTCTTCTTACTCCCTTATACAAAACCATGCAGCTGAGGTGCATCCCAAACCCAGTGCTGAACCTCCACCAGGTGTAAATCCGCTTCAGTTTAGTGGAGATACAACACATCCCAGCCATGATCCTTGTCCAGAAGGTATAAACTCTGTCTGAAAAGGTAAAACAGACAAGGAAGAGTTAAGCACTGCCTGTCTGTGACCTGACCCAGCCAGTGATTCAGAGAAAGGACACATGTCCTCTGGGGAACACAGGTCTTCAGAGGCAACAAGAAAGGCCTTCAGAGCCTGCAGCCTGCTTTGGTCAGGGAAATTGGTTTTTGTGTATGACTGGCAGGCTTTTGAGTTTGATTAACACATCATGCTCTGAGGTAGTGTCTCGAAATAGACTCAGACATGGCACCGGGACTCTCCTGAG